CACAATTTCATACTAAATTTAAAAACTATAATTAGTATTTATTCATATATTATATTTTAAAATCAAAGAACTACTAATCAGGATATAATTAAAGAAATAAGAGTTCATGTTGCTTTTAAAATATTTCACCAATTTCTCTAAAGGAAACACTATCTACAGATTTGCATCGAAGCGTTTCTTATGATAGTGATTTTAATCACTGTCAGATATCATCTATACTTGTCCCATCTATGCCTCGTCCACACTGTGCCTCGACCCCACTGTGCTACCGTTTTTTTAATAACCTCTTAAAAATATTTACTGTTTAATAAAAGTAAAGACTGAGTTTAAGATTAAAAAAACAAATACAGCAATCACAAAACTTAAGTTGGCATATCAAAACTCAAAAAGTAAATCTTGAAGTAAAATATTAATTTAATAAAATAAAATAAATTTTTTTATTTTACTAAAATATTGTAAATTATTGAAAATCAGTGGCGTGCCCAGAGGGGCGAGGTGAGGGGTCATATCCCTCCTCATCGCGTTTTTTTTTTCTAGCATCGAGTACCTAACAGCAATAATTGAATAAAGTTGTAACTATTACATTGTATATTTGTATAACAATAATACATCATATTATACAAAACACAAAATATTAATAAATATTTTAATGAGGCTTGACCTCTAAAGCCCCCTTATTAGTCTTTTTCTAATTCTTTCGCCCTCATTAAATATATTTAGTTGTATTAATAACTATTAGTTATGACATCCCTCCCCATTTAAAATTCATGGGCACGCCACTGTTGAAAATAATAAAATAAATGTTATTAATTTACAATAATTATTTAATTTTTAATTGTCCACTATACATACGTGTAAATGTATTTATTTTAAATTCATAAATAAATCATTTAATCATTCTAATTAATAATTAATTAAAATTATTAAACTTAAACTATTAAATTTTATTGAGAATTATATAATTCTTAAATGACTAATTAATGTTAATCCAAATTTAAATTATTAATTAATTTGTAGTGTCATTTATATTATTAGATTCTATATCTTTTCTTATTGGTAAACTGAGTAAATCATTAAATGTGAGTGATAATTGTACCAACGGTGGATTGTGAATTGGATTTTTGGTCCACATCATCCAGACTTTTTTATTTAAGTCAAAAACACCTAATATAATTTTAAAAAAAAATTTATTTCTTAATACTTATAATGATAATTTTTTGTGTTTGGGTAAAGAGTATTAAGTTTAAATACTTAGTTTACAGAAATTAAAAATTAAATTTATTTGTATTATAATAATTCTAAGTTTTTAAAATTTTTAAAGACTGACTTTGTATTATGATTAGTTTTCGGAAATTCTTAATTTGATGAACTTTTAATAAAAACTAGTTTTTCAATTTTCAAGACTTAATACCCTTTACATGGGAATTATTTTTTATAGGCATAATTTACAAATTATTTAAAAAGAAAATTTGTAAATTTTAAATCCAACAAATTTTTCTTACCCAAGTGAATTGTTTTCACCAATTCATCGGGAATATTTCTAAAAATGCTACTCTTGCCATCATCTTCATTTCCTAGCACATTAAGTACATCGTTCAAACTAGATACAGTATTGTTTTCAGTTAGCTGCTTATAACGTTCTTCCCTTTTAACACTGCTACCATAAGAGAGTTCATCATCACTTTCTGAGTACTTCAAATGAAGAAACCTAAACATTTATATTTAAATTATATATTTGTTTCGTCTGCATTATCTTATTTAACTTAAAATATTAATAAATTTATTTATTACAATTTTTGCATTCGTCAAAGTTATAATGAAAACTTTTTATATTCTTAGCACACCTGTTAGCATGAAAAGAATTGGTTCCAAAACTAAAGTCAGCAGTGAACACCTCCGATTGAAATTTATTACTATTTGGGGAAACTTCAATTGAGTGAAATATACGAGATTCTTTCGGTACGTTTAAGAACGCTAAATTTACATGGAATGCATCTGCCGTACCTACTCCTTCATTGGTTAATATTTCAATAATTTCAGTCATATTAGCCCTGGATGACAATAAAGCTCTGGTGATAAACTCTCGAGCTAAAAAAAACCACGTAATAATGTTATAATACTTATTTATAGACATATTTATAAATAAAAACACTCACGTATGCGACCTCTAAGAGGTTTTGTTACAAAAATAGTGTTGATAGAAAACACTACGCCATGGTAGTTATATCCACTTGCATATCCAGGTAAGTGTCCTGCATAAGCTAGCGCCTCAAATTTTTCTTCCCTAGCCTTGAAAACACCTCCTGATTCATATTTGTTGGGTATTATATGTGCAGCTATAATATAATAATTGTCCTCCGTTGAAGCCAATGCGTCTTCAGTGTGTCCCAAGAACTGAATACAGAATATTTGATTTAAATTACTTCAAATGTTTTACCATACTGAATTTATATATTTACTTGACCATTTGGCTGGTTTACTAAAAGTGAACTACATCCAACAGGTCCCCTATCAATGTGTTCTTTATTGATGTTCATCGGTAATGTGTCGTCCAAAGCCATTAAGAAAAGCTAAAATAGATTCTGTTGTTATTAATTAATATTAAAGATCCATTTTTATAAAATATATATTTAGAAAAAAACAGTACCTCTTCAAAAGAAACTTTTGCACCATCAGCCACTCCTTGCAATTCAGTAACATACTGCGGAAAATATTTTTCTGTTGCTTTTAAGCTTTCCTCATATATAATACGGCCTTCAGGTTTCTCCAACAATTTTAAATAATCATGTAGTGGGCTGTATATTTTTAAAAAATCTTTTATCATTTGACCATAAGTACGTCCCTAAAAGTACATATCAACTATTTTTAGTATAAATGTTTAAAATAAAACTTCACTTGATATTTTAAATGTCAAGTTAAAACTGCCTAATTATTTTAAAGGCATATCAAATAAAAAGGTTTAAAATATAATTAAGTATAAAAAAAATTAAATTTAAAAAAGTTGTCTAATGAACAGCTTGGGAAAAATCTATCATTATTTTCCTTTTGAGTTCTCGTCTACTTAAAAAATAACCTTACTCAAAAAAAGTTTCCATCAAACTTTCTGAGCTTATTCAAATTAAAGGTATTTTAGATTGCAAATTTTAAAAATTTATTTAGTTCATTCATCATTCAATAATTCAAATAATTATGAAATTCTACTCAAATTTTGAAAGTCACTCCAAAAACTAATATTAAAAAAGTGTTTAGTTTTTAAAAATAAACTAAATTTCATTTAGTATGTGTTTAGTTTCGAAGTGAAACTTAGATAGCATTTATTTTATTATGATCTGTTTTTTTTTTCTGTAATGAAAAACCTTAGTTATTACAACACTAATTTTGTTTATATATACACTAAAAGAAACCGATTTTAATATTATTGGATCTATCGGCATCAAAAATTAGAAAGAAACCCCTCAGTTTGAGAAATTAAAAAAATATTTCAAATTAACACTACCATAAAAAATAACATTTTCAATACTTTTTTTCTGCATAGTAAAACTGCTATAATTCTTTTTTTCAACATTGATTTTAATGAAACATAAATAAAGTATTTTAGAAACAATAATATTTTACTTGGTTTTAAAGACAAAAATCGCAAAGTTTCAATTTTTTAAATAAAAACAAAAAATTCTTAACTACAAAACCATTTTTATGATATTTTTAACATTTTCCTATATTTTAAAACTGCAGAAACTTTTTTTGAAAACATTGACCCTAGTGAAATTTAAAAAAATAAAATAGAAACATTAAGCTTTCTTTTGTAGTTTACTATAAATTAATTGAAAAACCTAAATATGAGAAGAGTTTAAAAGGGTTGCTCTTACGCATTTAAAATAATTTTTTTCAACTCAATTTTCGGAAATGTTGTGGAACACTATACTTTAATCCTATATCAAAATAAACTATCTGAAGTGTTCATAACATAAAAAAAAGTGGTCCCAGCGATTAATTCTACTATCAGACATCGGAAATTTAACTTTATTTAAAAAAAAAATACTGGTAAAGGAACAATTTTTTTTTGCTGAATTATTCTCAAAATTAATGCTTAAGTAAATACTTTTAACAATAAAAAAAATAATATTTTAATAATGTTATGAATTATAGGTGTTCTCGTGGGGGGAACTCCTTTCATACGATAAAAATTAATCTATGATAAAATATGCTTTAGAACAGATAAAAAAATGTATATTTTTTTTATTTATTACTAAAATACATGTCTTAAGAGGATAATTCGTCGATATGACGCTGATGACTTTAATAAGATACATTATAAGACAAATTGTTGAGTAAAATTGGTACACTTTACTACAAGAAGTTAATTAATTAAAAACAAAATTTACTGCAAAATAAAATCAACTGCTTTTCAACTATTTACGCATCAAAGGTAATAAATTATATAGTGTTTAATAAGTAAGGAAACGGTTTTCTATTGTTCTCATTGTCTAAAACAATTGACTTGTTAACTTACTTACTGAACACTTTATATATTATAATTAATATTCTTATACAACTTAAGACCTTAAATACTTTCATAAATATTATGAACAATTTTTAAGTAATGGGATTTTCCATTTTTTGTATTAAACAAGTTTTTAAATAAATTACAAGTCATAATACAAAGAAACGTAAAAAATTAGCCTAAGAACAATATATATGTATATGTTATCATAATTGAGATAATTTGGCAAACTATGATATAGCAATTATCTCAATAGCGATAACTAGTTTGTAACCAAGAATTAAATCATGTGATTATTTATTGAAATATTTATCAACACAACAGGAAAACCAGCTATTATTTTTCCATATAGTTTTCAATTTTTACTACAATTTTTATTGTTTATAATTAAATTACGATATAAAAATCGGTTTACCTTCAAAACAGTGAAAATAAAATCGAATGACTTTAATACAGTGAAGAAAATAACAACGAATTAATATATAGCAAATGCATTTAAAAAAACAGCAAAATGAGTCGTTAAATTTTAATTTTAATGTTGTAAGCTTAATTTATATGCAATCATTATTTATCATGATAATTATACAATAACTTAATGTTAAATATTTTACATCGTGATAACATTTAATTCTTCTCAAATAAAAAAACATTTTAAATTTTCATAATATAAAAAACAAAACATTTATACTTTTTAACTTTGAATTTATAAAATTAGTATGCACAATACAATATTAATACTAAAATATTTTGGGCAAAAACAACTCAAATTTATTGTTTGTGGAATATAAAAACAAATTTGTATAAACCCATTAGGTTCGTTTATATTATAACCATTTTGTCAAAATATTTTCTTAATTTTATTTATAAATATCAAATTTATTTGAGTTGAAAATTTATTATTATCATTATATAGTGTTCAGTAAGTAAGGAAACAGGCTCTATGTGTCTCGTTGTTTGTAACATTTTACCTGTTTCCTTACCTACTGAACATTTTGTATAACTATCTGAGTCATTTTTTGTTAGTTCAAAACACACGACACTTAGAAAAACAATAATTACGTTAATGAATTATTTATACTATTTTATGTCATTATGATTTTCCTCTTAAAAAAAATACTAATAAGTTCATTAGGTATGATTATTTTTACACTTACCACGCTATACCCAACTTCATAGTGGCTTCCACTGACATAATGGACAGGTATTGATACTCTCTTTGGAATTGTATGGCTCTTATTATTATAATTCTCTAAAACCATTTTAAAATAAAATAAAATATAAGTTGAACTGAAGAAAAATTACTGTTAAATAAAATGAATGCTTTACATTCCTTTCTCTAACAATTTATGAATGACAATAAATTTTAAGTTTAACCACACAACGTTGTAATCAAAGCTTTGCAGTGACACAATGAAACCATACTAATAACCAAATCTAATTAGACACAATTGTATTGCTTGAAAACTTATTCATTTTTTACTATTTATTTTCGGTTAAAACAAAAGGTGAAATTGATTAAACTAATTAAGATAAAATTAACAATTATTTAAATGCATATTAACTGAACTTTTTAACAAGTACTGATAAAAAAAAATCGATATAAATAATGATGAAACGGTATATTTAACAATAAATTATTTACATTTTATATACTACAGTTTTCATTTTATATTTAAATAACTTTTAAAAACTGTACGAAACACTGCAAAATATTTATTGATTTAAACATTTACCGATTTTGAAATATTTTGAATATTAAAATCAACATAGGTTTTTTCTTGGTATTATATTATTAAAAAGAGACTTTTATTAGTTGTAAATTAAGTAAAATTAAAATTAAATTTCTCTTTACTCTAACTTTGATTATACTGGGATCGTATACAGAAAAAAAAAAGAAAACAAAAGATATGATTATAATATATAATACGAAAATGTGATAGGATATTCTTTAAACAAAAGTAAAATTTTAATATAATTTTACCATATTGAATGTAAACATTTTAACCCCAACCAAAATTGGAGTTTTAAGTGAATTTTTATCTTAAAAATTAACTAAATTAATAAATCTCTCATGTATATAATTATTGTTTAAATTAGTAAGAATTTATGTTTCTTCAAAAGTACAACATGAATTACATTAAAAATAATTTAAGCAAAAATATTTAAATATATTTTAATTTTGTAAAAACACGAATAATAACGAGACTTACAAATAAATTTTAATAGTAATGCAGTATTAACATGGTAATATTCAAATTCTTTAAATTACGATATAAAATAAATCCTTTTCCACATAATACTAAAAATTAAATATGTATTTACCTGTTTAATATTAATAACTAGTCAAAATAATTATTAATATATTAATGTTACATGTTATTAAATAAGTTAAATTTTGCACATTACTTGATTAAGATTTTTATGTACCAACATCTAATTAGAGTTTAGAACAAATTTTATTACGTCAAAATAATACAATTTAAATTGAGTTACTTTGGTATAATACATTATAAACAAATTTTAAAGCAATTGAACTCCTATGAGCACCTTAATATTTAATCTGACTATGATTGGCGTGGTAATAAAACATTCTTTATATAAATTTAAACATTTAATAAGAAATCTTCCTATGAAATACAAACAAAACATAGTTACCTTTATTTTCTGGAAAGTTTATCGATTTAGCTTCAATTAAGTTTTTAAAAGATAAAAAAATAAGTGATGCTATTAAAGGAACACGAAGAGTACTTATTATCATCATAATAATTAATCAAACTGGAACAATTAGTTTAAAAATATATTTTTGAGTAGACTGAAAATATTAAGAAATGTGTTGACCGTCACAATAAAACGTGTTCTTGAAAAAAAACGCTATTGCTTCTTGAATTTCATGATGACTGAGACATAAGGTAAAATTATTTTTATAACGACTCCCAGAAGGTCTGTTTCTCCGTGGAAAGGGAAAATATATAGAATGACTCTTTTAACATTAGTAACTCAGTTTTTCTTAAAATATAAATTATGTTAAAAAATTATTTTTGGTATTTTTACTTATTATATATTTTTTGTATACCAATTATTAAGTTTTTTTAAATTTATTTCTCTTACTTTATTAGGGCGACACTTTTTTAGCTTCGATGCGAAGCTGAGAAAGTATTAATTTTATTATAATGTGTCTTTTTTTTGGTCTCTGTTACAACTTTTTCTCAGCTCCCACCGAACCGATTTCTTTTAACGATACCTCAAAAGACCATAAAAGAAACACGGTGAAAATGGCTACCAAATGCTATTTTTGTGTAAAAATTCTCGATTTTATTTTTTACATTTTTAACTTTAAAATGCTATAACTTTTTAAAAAATGTATGGATCAATACAATTTTTTCATTAGAAGTAGTATTTATAACCCTCTTTCATTCGACATACCTTTTTTTTTAAATAAAACTATTTCCCTTTATATATTTATTCATTTATTACACTTATAAATCATAAAACTTGTAATCAGGGTATAAATAAGGAAATCATGTAGCTTTTGGAATAATCCACTAATTTTTTAAAATTAAACACTATCTAAAGATTTGCATCGAAGTGTTTATGATAGTGATTTTAATCACTGTCAGATATCATTATACTAACCCAACTATGCCACATCCTCACTGTGCTGGGTATTTTTTTCATTGGTTACATACATAATTAACTAGATTTTTAAAAAAAATTACTGATTGATAACAACATTTGACCCATTATTTGGAAGTTATAACTATTTTTAAATTTAAAGTAAGGGTGAAGTGATTTATTCGTTTATTATATAAATGATTAAAATAAGTAGAACTACAGGTAGCTAATTGTAAGGGTTATATTATTATTCGACATTTATATTTTTTGTTATATATATTATAACACAAAAAATGTGTCGTATGGTTTTACATACATTATAACTGTTATTTTATTTTTTATTAAATGAAATGGGAAAAAATTTCTATTTTTAACCAATTTTATGTGAGATTTATTATTGCATTGTCTAAATATACAAAAGCACCATAATTCTATTAGACCGTAAGCTGTATAAATAACCAGTGATTTTAAAAAAGTGAATACTTATACATACGTTTGTTATATGTTTTATTCTTAGAAATGATAACCGAATGAGTTATTTACCATTAACCATTTCTTATTTTTTTATGTTAGCTAATATTACAAATATTTCTGAATGATTAATTGAATTTTTTATTTAAATTTAATATATAAGATATTTAGTAAATAAGGAAATAGGTTTCTATTGTTCTCATTGTTTATAACAATAAATTTGTTTCCATATACTTTTATATCTTTTGTAATTATAATAAATATGTTTCTATAGGGTGGACATTAGAAATAATTTTTTTTACGGCACACCTAAATTTGCTTGAACACTTAAAAAAAATAAGTTGTATGAAATTTTAGACCATTATGAAAATTTTAACCTGTGCTCTTAAGCCTTTAAATTTAATTGAACAATCGATTTTTGAAAAAAAATATTTATTTATTGGTCGACATTTATGTTGTTGCCTTCAAAAAAGTTCCCATTAGATATTATTCACTTGTGGCAACGCTTCTTCCAACCCTCGAAACATTTCTCAAACTAGATCTTTGGGATTCACAAACAAACAATCAAGTGTGAGCAGGTGCATTATCGTGGTGCAAAAGCCATGAATTTTTTTGCTACAAATCTGGGCGTATTTTTCAGATTGCTTCACACGAACTGCGTTAAACTTGTACGTAGAGGTTGCCGTTTGACCTTGTGGCAAGAATTTATCATGTACTATGCCATTAAAATTGAAGGAAACAGTGACATATAAGTTATGTTACATAACCCTCACGTTCGATGGCACTTGTCCAATATTTTCCGATCTTGGCAATCCCTAAAATGAAGGCATTTGGATGATTGATATAATTTTTAAGATCACACAGATCCTTGGTTAACATTAATTTCTTTAAACCTACATTAAATTAAAGCTAATACAATGTATTTTAAGATGAAAAAAGAAAGTTAATATGAAATCTTAATTTCTTGGAGTTGGCGGGTATTAAAGCCAAAATTATACAAGTTTCATTAAAAATAGTTGATTTTGAAGTGTTTTTTGCATAACAAGGAAACATTTATATTGTTTTAAACTAAATCTAATAATAACTTATTTAATGAATTATATGATTATAAAAAGAGAAACATTATAACAACTTGCCCTTATTATAATAATAATCGTTTTAAAGACAAGTTACTCTACTTGCTTTTAAGAACGATAATTATGTAATATTTGGTAGATATTAAAATGTTTTTTTTCTTACGAAAAATATTTTTAGATATCAATCAATATTAATCTAAAAAATGTATTAATCTCACTATGCTAGGTTCCATCTGTAATTGACTTTTTTACTTTTTTAATCCAGTATTTATAAAAATTATTTATTCATTAATATTCAAGTTAACATTAATACTTGTTACCATAATTATTTACGTAGGGGAAAAAATTTTGTTGTAACCTATGGATAACTTCACTAACTGAGAGAAGTGTTGAATATTCTTTTAAAGATAATGTTAGTCATGGAAATAATTAAGGAATTAAATTTATGTACAACACAAAGGAACATTAATTGAGAATGGTAAATGTATGAATCTGAGATATGTCAAGCACTATGTCGAAATCAATATTAATAATAAATAATACATAATATAACGTGTAACAACTACGAAAAATAAAAAAAAGACGCTAATTCTATGCTATCAATTATATCCAATCAGATAACCAGCGACCTTGTATGTAGACAAAATTATAAATGGTCTAACAAAATTCAAAACGTTGAATTCAGTTAATACAATTTAAAAAACAGCGCTCTCTATCCAACAACTTAAGATTGAAAAATCAAGGTAATGATTTATTGAATATTTTAAAATATATACTAGGTGCAATATTTTTCTTTTGTGCCATTTGATTGTAAAAATAAGTAATTCAAATACAAAATTTTATTTACGTATGGATGTAATTTTATTGTATTAATGTAATAAATTTGAAAAATTGTGGTAATTACTTTAAAAAGTAGTCAAAATAAGAAATACAATTTTTAGGACTAAAATTTATTATAATAATGTAGATAAATAAGATGAAAGCCATAGTTTTTCAGAATTTCCCAATTAGAAAACACTTTAAATATTGACTATAGTATTTATACCTCATTACATTAAGTGTTCGTACAACTAATCTTAAAGTAGATTGTTAATTATCAATTAACTTTGTAGTAACTTTTATATGAGTTCATTTATATAATCTAAAAGCATAAAACTTATTAAAATCGTTTTTTCAATATTATATAACTGAATTTTATAAAAAAGAAATAAGAGAAACTTATACGATAATGAGCAATTTTTTATTCATTAAAATATTCCAAAAAAATTAGAAACCTTTGAAAATAGCATATTTTATATTTTAACAATGTATGAATATGATAAAATTTTAAAGGAAAATCAGTTCACAACGAAATATTGATACGTTATACAAAAACTATGTTCTTTTTATCTATGATTTTTATTTGTAAATCCAACCAAAACCTAAGTATGAGACATTATAACATAATAAAAAGTAATAACATTTTTCTTTCCAACCTTATAAATTTTACAGAAAATCTGCATCTTTTAAATTAGTAGAATAAACTTTATGATTTACAAAAGAAAACCTTTTAACAACTTTATTTAACGAGATATTTGGCTTCAAAGTTAAAAGGATGATTTCGGCTCTTTCCTAATTCTCTGACTAGAGCACTTAAAAACAACATAACTCTTTATAGTCGAGTGCCACTTAAGAGGCAATTTCTAGATCCGTAAACACTTATTTAAGATAAAAATGGCAGACTTAAAGATGTCTACTTCTGCCTGCAAAATCACTTTTAAGTTTAACTGTCTAATATATTTTGTTTGATTTTATGAATACAGAGTGATTATTCTATCATAGATCACTCAACTACTAACAGGATTAAAATAATTTTGAAAACAATTTTTTTGGTTACCTTTAGTTATATGTTATTCTAGAATTATTAGTTTTGAAATACTTATAAATATAAGCTTATCCCTTTTTGCTTGTAAAGGTGTCAACTTTGTTTTTTCAAATGGGAACACATATTTTGAATTTAATAAAATGTTTAAGGTTTTATTTTAATGGTAAATAACATTTGAATTTAATATACAACTTTATTTGTTGATTAAATAAAAAACTTTTATGTTTCAATTTTTTGAGTTAATACACGAGGGATTACAAATACAGTAGCTAATTGTTTTTTATGACGTTATACGCATATACGCAGTGTTTAGTGGCAATAGATATGATTACTGTATTGCCAGTTGGTATATTTACAAACTCATAATAATAGCCTCACTACCATAATTTAATCACATCTATTGATAAAGTCATAACTGATAATAAGTACTGCGTATTTGCGTATAACGACGTCATAAAAAACAATTACCAACCTGTATTTGTTATACAATAAAACGATCGTATAAAAAATGAACCTCACAGAGCAATAAAAAAAAACGTTTTTCTTGAATACGATCGAATTTTTAAAAAGCTTATTGGCGAAAGACGAAAAATTTTGGAACTAGAATCATGTGACCAAATGCTTAAAATAAAATATTACAAATCGGAACATATTAAGTAATTTTCCCAGCAGAGCGTTAATCTTCTTTATATTATTATACATACAAATTGTAATTCCTTTACTACAACTCACCGAACCTTTTCAAAAATATTAAAGCTCACCATAATTTTTTTTGCCCCTAAAGTTTATATAGCTGTAACTTATTGAAAATCGAATATTACCAAACAATTTTTTTAACAAAAAAATATTTCATCAAATAAATAAATCTGATGATATAAAAATAATTGGGGTTGCTATTTATTTGAAAATCTATAGTTTATACAAATTAAGGATGAAGGTTATAATAGCAGAAAATTAACCTTTCGTGTAAACAAGCTTAACAAAGAACCATTAATGTTAAAATAATAAAATAACGATTAGCTCTAATATTATCGAAGATATTTTGTGAAAAGAATTTGAGGAATTACTCCGTATAATAAGATTCCCATTTTAGTACTCCTAAAATTTAATTGGAACATAAAATTTTTATTATCATATATAAACTATTAATAATTTAGTTAAGTATTATTTAAAAAAAAATCAAATAGTGATCTTATGGAATTTTTAAAAATCTGAGTTAATATCTGACTCCAAATTTAATATTGTTAAAATCTTAAATAAAACAATTTGATACAAATGTACCCCATGAAAGTTTATCTTTGTCTTTTCAAAAGATGGATAAATTTTAAACTACATAAATAAATTTGATTTAATAAGTCTACACTTAGGTGCTATTTTGGTTAGAAAAATATTTTAATACAAATATTAACATTGTCTGTTTTATAACAACTGTATTCTTTTGGGACATTTTCCATTATGATGGTGGTTTTAGAAGATTTTTTTAAAACATAGGTGTTAAATTTATTATTTATATTGTATGTTATTGTAGTAAATATTATATTTATTTCAGATAATATTATACCAGTTAGTAAAATGGAATTAGAAAGCTTGAAGCGTACCATTGAATACAGAATAAAGGAAGAATCAAAGATAACACGAGCAATAATTTTGTCCGCTGTTAATTCTATTAATATTGAACATATTTTTCATGATAACAAAATGATTGATTTACCTAAGACAACATATGAAAGTTTTAAAAAATTCGATGACATGTTAAAAACTGTTATTGACCTTACAATGAAATTGGTGAATATTACTGCTTAGTAGTTACATGTTATAATACTTTAATTTTAATTTTTAATTTACAGAGATGTTTTATGACTTATAATATAAAAGCATTATCCAAAGTTAATGAAAATATAAATACCATTATATGCCAAAGATAATTTCCAAAGAAGTCTAACTGATATATACAGCATTTGGGAGTGAAACAAATGGGAAAAAATTCAATTTTTCTGAAATAAATACCTATAAGTACTTAATAGGTATAATAATGTATTACTATTTATCAAAATTTATAAGATGATACATTAAAGAACATTTAACCATACATACATAATTTCCCAAAATTGGCTAAATTATGTACTCATATTAAGTGCCTGTCAAACTGTTGATATGCTTGTGCATCAGCTTATAAGTTTTTGTTATAATATGTTTAATTTTTTACTCTATACTTTTTAATAAATACTTAAATTTTAGAAATATTAATTTCCAAACATCACACTATATCCAACAAAGAAATTGCTACCATCTTCAGCAACTGGTTTTCAGGGGCTAAAGATAGAGAGGGAGGGAAATAACTAAGAAAATCCATAAATTAAAGTGTTATATGTATATACATATAACACTTTAATTTATGGATTTTATTTAAAAAATAATGTGTTGCATAATACATTATAAATTAATTCTTAGATTTTTTTATGTTTAATTGTTACTTTTACTGTTATGTAATATTATGGTTATCACTATTATTATAATTAATATATTAAATTATAATTTATTATTCACATGTGCAAGATCACATGTTTTAAATAAAACAATTTTTGGATATTCTTATGTTTTATATTGCTCTTCATTATGTTATATCATTATTAATTTGTTTAATTGTGTATTATAATTCAAAAACAGATATGTATTGAGTAAAACAACTTTTGTTAGTCATTTAATTAATCAAATTGTTTATTAACTACCTATTTCCTGACTCTCGTAGTTCTTTTTAGAAGTATCGTTTATCACAAAGAAATACTCTTATAAACGAATTGAACAAAAACTAGATAAATATAATTATATTACTGGACCAGTACTGAAGATCCTTGAAATTATTATTAAAATCCAAAAGATATGCTAGCACTATTACCAATCTGGCTATTATACTAGCAGTTTTAGCCAATACTGATTATATCTGGAATTATGCCAGCACCAATCAGTACTGGTAAAGCGTTATCATCCCAGACATGTGACAGCACTGGTCCAGTACAATGCCAGCATTGGCTAGTACTAGTACAGTACTGCGCCTATTTTTAATTTCTGATTAGGCAGTAGTGTGTCAGTACTGGAAGTTCACTACTGGTAAAGCGTTATCATTCCAGTTATATGACAGCACTAGTCCAGTACCGACTGCCAGTACAATGTCAGCATTGGCCAGTACGGGTGCAATACTGCGCCTGTTGTTAATTTCTGATTGGGTATAAGAGTAAAGCAATCACGTATAGTGACACAAGAAAAAAAAAGTTCGATAGATTTAACCAACAACATTATAGTTACACATCGAAACTAAAAGTTAAAGCAATTTTATAATACTAAATAAAATCACAATTTGCCTTTTCTAACGAATTCCTAATTTCGAACAGTTTTTATCAATATTTAATATCTGGAAAATTAAATTTAAACGGGAAAATATTGTACTGCACTTTTAAAGTTACCCTTAAAAATAAGGATACTTTCTAAAAATTAACTGGAATTGACTAACAGACTAGTTTATAAATTTAATTTTTGGTTTTTATATTTAAAAACCAAATATTGCATAGTTTAATTTTATATATTAACTTATAATTTATTAGAAGATACATATTTTCAAATTCATAAGCAAACAGCGGTATTGTAAAAATAAAAATTATGTTTAACAAATTTATTTTGAAGATTTATGATATTCTCCATAATTATTTTTATTACGATAGTGTGTATTATATATTATTTTATACATCATAATTGATTATAATTTATAATAACACATAAAATTATCTACGTCATAGTGTATTTTAAAAATATACTAATTTTTTCATTTATTATAAAAATTAAAATATTGTTTTACATAAATAATTCAAATATCCGTAGTTCACATAAATATAAGGTAAAACTGATTTAATTTTTGAATTTTACTAAAAACTGAAAGTTGAAAAACTATTTTATTATTGTAAGTATACAGAGTTCATTTATAATTAATAATAAACTGATACATTTTAATTTTGATTAGAATTAGTATAGTAAAATTTTTATAAGGGAGATTATGATGCATACCTTTGATATAAAGATAAATTATAAATTAAAGTAATTTAAAATCTATTAACTATATAAGGTTATTCTTTTAACATTGAACACTTAATTTATAATTACAATGATCTATTAAGGTTAAAACATTTATTTAAACTATGTTAAAAGAACCCGTTTTTAATTTAGTTAAACCTTTCATCATCGAAAATTTAAATAAACTTCCTCTATTTTAGAAAAATAACTCAAAATTACGCTATCGTAAAAATTGAGTTTTTTTAAAATTTTACAACTATTATAACTTTTTACAAAAACAATAATCCTAATGAAATTTTAAAATAGATTAAGGTCCTGTTCTTTTGATTGACAAAATCGGTCTAGTGAGAACTAAGAATTTTTATAGACGGACATATAAAATAACGCATAAAATCTCAGGTTCGAATCGAAACTAAAAAGTTGGAGTGTAAAGATATTTATAATCAAACTTTCGATTGTTCGAAGTTGAATCGCATTGAATCTATTTGCTTTAATGCGATGTGATTAGTTAACATAATATGTGTTAATTTAATCACTGTCATTTTTTATGCCATTATTAATTTTTTTAAAACAGAAAAGCCATATTAAAAAAAAAACCTCATTTATAGTAGGGAAATTCTATTATTACAGCTCTAATTCAGTTCAAAGCAATTTTTTTTTAATCGTACTATTTGCCGCCTACATTAGTGTTTTATATAAATGTGTTCCATATGCATATTAAGAGAAGGTGGTGGGAGAATCAATATTGCCTAAGTATGTTACTGAATGAGGCCCCGCTCTTTGAAGGGTCCCGTAAATCAAGCAAATGCTTAATAAATATATATTCTATTTTTTTATTTAATAAAATGTTAGGAACCCCGAAAAATTGTTTTGTACGAGGCCCGACGATTTTTAGCACTAGCAAAACTTCTGGATAAACAAATGTATTTTAATCAAAAACCTCTTTGGGTAAAAGGGTCTAATTAAAATCATTTAATCTAGAAATAATATTTTTAAATCATCAAAGTTAAGTAATGGTTTGTTTTGCAAATTAAATATATTTTTTAATGAATTTTAGGGAACTATGACACAGAAAATTTATTCTGATAGTTTAAAAATTTTAACTATTTGGTGTGTATCAATTTTTTACATTTGTCCATTGGGTGCTGAAGAATTGTCTAATGAACAAGTACAAGGTAAATGTTACTCAATTTCATTTTTTATTTACAATAAAATAAGATATAAATGATTTATTATTTTTGATCATTTGTATATGACACTGTCCCGCGTCGCTAGCGTTACACGGAGCCCCGCGACTCGCACCTACTTTATCAGCCGTCGCCCTACTACGTGTATATGGTATTTTGACTGACTAGCACCGCGTGCGATACGTCGCGGTACAAAGTCCAGCAAGTGCCGCCCGCCCGATGACCACTCGCCGCAAACAACCGTTGAAGTCTCCTTCTTGACACCGATCAGTTCACACAGTACAATCCTATCGAGACCGCCGGTAAGGGATACCAACATTGTTTTTTCCGGATTTTGTTTCCCTATTGTACGGGTACAATGTGTTTTTACTTTGTGCAAAATATTATTTCGTTTAATAATTGGCTTACTTCAAAACAATAACACTGCTCTGTGCTCGTAGTTAAAATACGATAATTTTGTTCTCACTTTTACACGAGCAGCTTTATAAATTATAATTTTTAACTTTAACCGTTGTTTTTATATCGTTAGTTAGTGTGTTTTATAACGTTTGTTAACCGATTGTGCCTCACATAGCACACGGTGTCGACTTCACAGACAATTCGAAGACAGCTATCTAGTATTAGTATATATTTATAGTTATTATATTTCTGATTTCGTCAATCCCCCTACTCATAAACAGTATTTACTCTAAACATCCCTTCTTATTTATTCTCCTTTTGTCTAAATTTTAGCGTATACAGAGTGATCGGCTAACTATGTCTCACGTAATATCTTTAAAAATACAATTTTTTTTTAATAATTATGGATCTTAGATGAGCTGTTTCACAAAAAAATTAAATTTCTATCATCATACCTTATACTTAGAATTTGTATCAACTTAAGATATTCAAATGGCAATCACATATTACTTTTATACATTTTTGTTAGTCATAAAAAACATATATGTTTAGCAAAAAAAATATTAATTTTAAATAAGATACGCTACTTTAAAATTTACGTTATTTGATGAAAAAATTCAGTAGTTTTTCCAACACGGTCACATTATTATTTTATGTAGCGATAAGAGCTACCGGTTTACTGTGTCAACGCACGTAGTCAGAATAACTAAGGTAAGCTTGGTATGTTTATTTATAAAACTAGTAACGCTTATCGATTTACGACCTATAACGTTCGAGTCTGTTAAAATATTTTCTTAATAAACCCTAAACTTTAGAGAGCCGTAGAGCGCTTACTATTAAATGAAACAAAATATTTTTTTTACAAAACGTTTTATTTTTTATAAAATTAAATCTAACGGTGTAAAAAAATAGAGTTGTCATTTGAAAATATGAAGTTGATACAAGTTTTAAGCAAAAGGGATGGAGGTAAAAATTTTAATTTTCTTATGAAACACCTCATCAAATATTCATAATTATTCAAACAAAAAAATTGTTTATAAAATTTGTATTTTTAAAGATATTACGTGAGACATAGTTAGCTGATTACTCTGTATATTGACCCGTTTATCCACTAAACTTGTGTTAGCCGCTTATTGATTAATTACATGTTCTTCAGCGCTAAAAAAGCAAATCGCTAAATATTTGAACTATAGTAGTTTTAATTTTAATTAAATATTATGTATTAATTAAAGTTACAAACTATAAATGATATTAACTTTTATAGTGTAGGAGATACTGTAGTATAAAAATGTTATAAAATTTCAGTTGCCGCTTATAATATTAAATGGACGAGTAAGTTATCATTCTACATCAATTAAATAATTCCCGCCTAAAAATGATTATATCAAATGTAGAATTAAATTAAAAACATTTCACTAATTAAAGAAATAAAATGTGATCATTTTATGATTGAAGCATCTGGTAACAACCAGTCAACTGTGTAAGACAACTAATAGAAAAATATAAGAAAAAGAAGAAAAAGCTGTCTATGGTATTTATAGATTTGGAGATAGCGCATGATAGAGTACCGAGAGAAATTTTAATATGGATATTAATGATAAAATAAGCTCGAAAAATATACAGTAATATAATAGAGGGTATGTACGATAACACTTGTGTCAAAGTGAAAATATTGTGTGGAGTAACAGAAGATTTTAGGTAAGAATAAGAGTGCACCAAGGTTCTGCTTTAATTTTTTATTTGTTTTTTCATAGTTGTGAATGAACTTACTAGAGAAATACAAGGTGAGGTATTGTGATGTGTGTAGTTCATTGATGAAATAGTTATTAAGGAAAACGTAGGGAGAAAATTAATTAAAGACTAGTGATGTGGATATCTTGAAGGATAGATATTAAAAATAAGCAAGAGTAAGATAGACAACGAGTTTGACAAAGGAGAACACAAAATAGGTGAAATTAATAGATCAGTGACAATAAGCGTGGATGTGATAGAAGAACTGGAAAATTTTAAGTATTTAGAATCAGTTGTGAAAATGAATGGTGATATCCATAAGGATGTAAGACACAGTATTATGTGCGGGTGGGTGAATTGGAAAGAATCGTCGGATGTATTATACGAAAGAAAATTCCAATGAGACTGAAAGGTAAGTTCTGTAAGACTGTAAAAATAACAGTTACGATGTATAGTTCAGAGTATTGAGCGAATGACAAAAGAATAGAATAAATAATGAGTGTAGCAGAAATTAAAATGCTTAGATGGGTGAGTGAAGTACCGGAAAACCAAAAAAGAGATGAAGAGATGTTATTGAATGCGACATGAGGATGCTTGATGTATGCGTAAATGATGTGGGAGATAATGTCAAGTGAAACTTTACGATAATGGTGGCCAACCCCAAATAGTCAACGAAAAATAATAAGAAATAAATAAAATGTGATCATGAGAATAATGTATTTTTGAACACTGTTTGATCTAAGACTAAGAGATTTCTAAATAATTATTATTATACAAAAATTCATATATTTCAAAATCATTTTTGTATCCATTTAAAATACAGATTATGTTTTTAAGTCCACTCTGAAAAGAAAATTTACTCACAATTAATTATTAATAAATTTTCAAGCAATTATAAAAATAAAAAATTAGAACTACATGTAGTCCTGTTTTTCCAATTTGTAATAAAAATTTTTTTCACATGCTAATTTAAAATGACTTTAAATTAATTTTTAATTTTATATTGATTTTTAACTATAATTATTTATTATATTGATTGTTAATCATAATATAGACTTTCAAAATTAATTTTAAAACATTTTTATTTTAAATCACTTTTGTTCAGATGATATGTTTATTCAATATAAAAAGAAATGTAAAGAACAAAATACATTCGGTAAGCTTCAAATTAAAAAAAAACCCAGCACAGGGGGGTCGCGGCACAGTGGTGACGTGGCATAGTTGGATCAAGTATAATGATATCTGACAGTGATTAAAATCACTATCAAAAATAAACGCTTCGATGCAAATCTTTAGATAGTGTTTAATTTTAAAAAAATTGGTGTTTTATTCCAAAAGCTACTTGATCTGCTGGTTCCTTATTAATATCTCGATTAAGATAAAGTATGTCGAATGAAAAAGGGTTTATTAAAAAATATTATTTCTCATAAAAAAATTGTGTGGATCCATAAACTTTTCAATAAGTTATAGCATTATAAAGTTAAATATAATATAAATAATAAAATCGAGAATTTTCACACGAAAATAGCACTCAGTAGCCATTTTCACCGTGAAGACAAGTCCAGAGGTCAAATTTTTTTTTTTTAAATTAAAGTACATTACATTAGCTTTAATTGAAGATATATATAAAAATGTCAGACCTTCCGGAACATTTTCAAAAGTTAAGTTGAAAAAGTTAATTTTTTGTGAAAAAGTTGTCATTTTAAATCCCCCCCTGTGGGCAGGTTAAGTGTCAGATTTACAAAAAAAATATACCAAATGATAGGTAAAGACATCAAGCATCTATATAAAAAAAAATTATATTGATATGTTCATTTTTGAAAAAGTTACGGCAGTTTTTAGTAAAAAAAATTGAAAAAATTTCGAAAATTAGCGATTTTTAAATTTGTAATTTTTTTGGAGGTTTCCCCCATTTACGGGGAACGAGGGAAATTTTTTCAATTTTGAAGGGTAATGTCTTCGACTAGATACGATTTGTGATCTTTTAACGTATCGTTGAAAGAAATACGTTCGGTGAGAGCTGAGAAAAAGTGGTAACAGACACAAAAAAAAAAAAAACACATCATAGTAAAACCAATACCTTCTCAGCTTCGCATCGAAGCTAAAATGTAATTAGTATTAGATTGTTTTTCTCCCATTCCATTCATATTCATCATTGACAAAAATTATTTTATTGATTTTACAATAAGAGCACCCAAGCTATTTTTGTATATAAACTTATTTTTATCCACATCCTGTAAAACTAATTATACCTATTAATTTATTAATATATTAATATATCACACACGATATTTTTTAGATTGAAAATATTTTATCCCTTAAGAAAGCACGGTGGGTCCATTTGACCTTATTATAAATAGAACTTAGATATTACAAAAAATATAAATTGTTTATATTTCTATATTTAAAAGATGGTTTGTATAATAATGTTTAATCGATTTTCGTAAAGTTGAAAGTTTTAAAATATTTCAAAAAACTTAAAAATGGAAGAGGGTCTTATTTATCCCCTTATTTAAAGGGTCTTTATTTATCGAGTTATAATTTTTTTTTTGACTTGATTTTCATAATAATATTTTTTTTATACATTTAGCTGATTGTGCGATAACATGCCTAAAATAAGCTATTATCTTATTATATAATAGAACAAGGAAAAAAACGCTTTTCTGAAAAAATTACTTAGCGTGCTCGGATTTTCAAAATTGTTTTTTTCAACAAAAGCACTCGATCATCAGACTCCGGGAAAGTTATTGGCGAATTTCGGAAAATTTTAGCCACTCGCCCGCGAGCGTTTTAAAATTTCGACCGTTTTCAAGAAAAAACACTTGCTGACGCCAGCGTTTTACGACTTAAGGTTTGAAATTTTCATCAGACCCACCCAATAACATTCCTAAGATATAATAAAAAAATCAATTCAATCCGTTCTTTCTTCACCGTTTTAGGAGCTTTTTTTTTTTTAAGTCCACGCGCATGGTTTTAATATGCGCATTGATTCATTTCTGCTCATACGTTTATTATGAACCTTAATTATATGGTGTAATATGTATTTTTATTAAGACACTATTTTGCATTTGCACATAGCACTATATTTTATCGAGGAATATTTTATGTTATATATAAATTTAAAGACGGTTATAATTATATAAGTTTGTACTTTCATTATCAAAACAGTTCATTATTAATAATCTTTTTTTTCTCATATATGATGTATGAGTCTATGAGTTTATCGTTTAAATTGGGATTCATCTATGACAACATAGTCCAACATATTGGACAGCACAGTCCAAAGTTAAATCGCAGTTACCAATATTTTTATCAAAATTAAATTTTTTACATAGTCCCAAATATAATAATCTGCTGAATTTTTTTTTAATTATTCTATAATATAAACACAATTATTATAATTAGAATATTAATAATTTTTGTGTATACCACGGGTGTATTTAAGGGAGATATGGCCCCCCCTTGAACCAGCGCTATAAATATAGTTTTAGGAAACTTCTAATAAATAAGGACCTAAAGTCTTTTTTTTCATCATTATTTTAATTTTTAGCAAAAAAAATTCTAAAACATGTTTAATAAAGTAAAAATATTAAATACCCTCCTAAAATAATTTTTGAATAGGCCTAAAGGGAATACCTCATTAACAAACGTCAACCTTATACCCAATACATTTTACATTTCTCTTTTTGAATTTTCCTGATTTTAATAATAACATTTTTAATATATTTTTGTTACACTGATCTGATGTAATATTTTTTCTGCAAAACACTTATCGTGCCCGGCGAAGCCGGGTACCCCTACCGGAATCAATAGCCTACTTAAGGCTCGTAAGGCTCCGGGTCTGTGGCGGAGCCCCAACTAGACGGAGCCTAGTTATATGATATTTACGTATCTACTATTAAACAGTTAAGTATTAATTTTATAGTTTCCATATATTTTATGATGATTTGATTGTAATTTTAGTTTTCTCTGATTATTGTGGTATGACATTTTTTAATACCACTATACCATATTATATAATTAAAAAAAATAGGAGTTAATTTTGCTTTTGGAATAATCCACCTATTTTTAAAAATTATACCCATGTACAGATTTGCATTGAAGCGTTTCTTATGATAATGATTGTAATCATTTTTAGATTTCTTCTATGCTTGCTCCTACTAGGTCACGTCTCCAATGTGTCCCAACCCCACAGTGCTACAGTTTTTTTTTTAATTATTTTCAAATACACATCAAAACGTTTTACGACAGTGACTTTAATCGATTATTATTAACCTTCATAATTGTTTTTATTAGATGAACAAAAAATATTAGAATTTTTGATAAATAAATTCGATAATCTATCATATGGTAAGAATTTGTATTTTTAAATTAATAAAAATAATGAACATTTATGATTATGTTCATAAGAGGATTAATTCCAAAATTAACCCCTTCCCATTTTTTTTTTTTTATCTACCGCCGGCATAATGTGGACCGCCCTGGAACTACCGTTAGGTATTGCTTCAAGGCGGCCCACGCCGTCTATAACCTCACACCGCTGAGTTGTGACTCAGCCCGAAATTAATCAAGAACTGAGTCACAACGCGACGTGGCCTCCCCCGTTAGCCGGACCCCAGAGTGGGATCCGTTACCCAGGCCGCACCACGTGGAGGTGGGGGTAGGACTTTGCTAAGGTTGGGAAACACATATAAACAAACAGATATAAACACTAAAAAAAAAAAAAACGAAACGACCTGATAAGTCAGGCTTATTTTGTTTTTCTGGGACGAACTTTTGACAGGTGAACATCCTGTACATGTCCCCGCTTCGATAACGCTTTCGCGTAAGCCGAGCAATGACCGCTACCCGGCTAATGCGCTGAGCCCCCGGGCCGCCCGTCACAAAGCACACAGTGTGGTGGAGCCGTGCAATTGCTCACATGGTGATCCACCGCCCCGCATGACAAGCAAAGGGACGATCAAAGGTCAGGCCCATTGCATTCCCGAGCGAAGTGGCCATATCCATGACACCGGAAGCACCACTCTAGGTGAAACCGGAGTCTCACCCGGCAGCGCACCAGGCCAATGAGTACCCGTCCTACTAGGTGTAAATGTAGTCCGAAAGCCCTAGAGATCCGAACAACAGCTGTGAGGCTGCCGCCGAATCCAGGGACCACTCGGACTACCTCTACGTTCACGGCCCCCGGCGCCTGCCGAAGCGCCTGGCCGATGTCTTCCATTGTGGTCTCCGGTGCGATGTCCCGTATGGTAATCCCACAGGTTTCCCTATGGTGGTCACCACCGCAGCATCTCCCAAAGCGCTCCGTGCGGCTTCAGCGAGCTTCAATTGTCCTCTCGGTACCCGTAACTCAATGTCACCTTGCCTGGTTTTCTTGAAGGCTGTAACCGTCAGACCAAGGGCCTGAATGTCCACGCCGGCCACGAGTTTTCTCGCGACCTCTGCGTAGGAACGATCACCCTTGAGCTTCACGAGCACGGCTTACGGTTTTGAAGCAACAGCTTGCCTCACCCTTTGCCTAAGCGTAGGTAAGAGCTTGGCTTTAGTCGTTGGCTTTACCTCTTCATCTGTCGGGGGGGAATCTGCGAGTGGCCGCTCCCACGCCTTCCTCCGTAATGCTACAATCGAACGGAGCCCAATCCCTTGTTGTATCGCAACGACGAAGGGGGGTTATCGAGCTCACGTTGCTCTCCTCGTCTTCTCCGCTTCTTCTTCTTTTTCGGTTGTTGGTCCCACAGTCCTGTTTGGACGGATGCATTGGCAGTACGCAGCTTCGGCCGTGTGGCCGTCACCTCAGACTCAATACACGTCCCTTCGCTTTCATAGGTCGGCGGGCCAGGAATTTTTCATGGCCACATGGACGTTGCGGTTAGCAGCGACAAAAGTGCGCATATCCGCAAGGATCTGTCCATGTTTGGCCAATACTTTTTCGAGGGCGGCTATGTCCTCATCGGCATACTTTCTCCACCTCTTTGCTTGCGGCGACATCTTTGGCGTCACCTGCGGTAAGAGTGCTGCGGCAGGTGGATGTTCCGTGTCTAGAACCTCTCCCTCCGGACTTGCCGGCGACATCTCCTTTCGCTTCATGCGAAGCGCCTCGTCCTCATCGAGAGTTCCGGGACTCCGGTCCACCAGGTCCTCCACAAACGTGACATCTCTTGTGATGGCCTCCTCGTCGCTAGCTACATCGTCATCAGAAATTCCAGCTTGATGTTTTGCCAGGGTGACGCAAAACTCCAGACATCCCATAAATCGGCTTCTACTTATGAAGCGACCTACAGGGAAAATGTTTTCACCGTCCTTCCTGCTGTCCGTGAGCAAGTATGGTAGGCGCTCAGACCACGGTTTAATCTTTTCCCAAGTATGATTAACCTTCCAGTCTTCGATCATAATCTCAAAGTCGACCACGTTGTCCTTCATGATCGCGTCAGCCAATCCACCTCATCTCCTCGCGGCTTCCTCCGCACTGCATCAGTAGCAATAAAAGGCCCACACGCCTGACCAGCCACGCGTGGGACTTCGCGGTCGCTTGGTGTTGACCTGAGTGAGCCTGCTACGTTGGGTCCGGTTTTGGAACCTTTCCCACTCACTCCTGCCACCCTCTGAGGCTCCGATACCTCTGAGGGGGTAACTTTGGTCCTTGAATTAAAGGCCATAAGTGATTTTTTAGGTAAATTCTAACCTGCGTTTTACCTACCTCCAGGGGATTTAATTTCAGTGTTGCCTTCACTTAGGTGGTCGCCTTACCAGGCTACCGGGCCCACCCGCCTGTAAAAATTACGCTACCGCTTATTCGTCCACTAAGTGGCTTATATCACGGCTACCCTGCATATCTGCAGGGTTAACGAGCGAACGAGGGGCTCGCTGTCCGCGACCGCTTATTCGTCAGCACAAATTAATGGACTGCTTATTTCGCGGCAAACCTGCATATCTGCAGGCCGTTCCTCTATCCACAACCTGAGGACGCGCCCGATTCCCCGAGCTAGGGAAACTGCGCTCGTGCCAACGTTTCGTAGCCCCATAGAGCCCGATCACACCGACACTGTAGCGTAGCGCAACGGGAAATTAACCCCTTCCCAAAATTCATCAAATTAAATTATATATGTTTTAAAAAACTTATTTTAAGTTAAAGAAAATGTTAATTTCTCTCGCCCCATTATGTTAATAAATCCACATATGATCATATTCATAGACTTAAACATTTAGTTTTGAGTTAAAATAAATATTTTATTTCAGAGGAACTCGAAGATATGTTAATTCCAAAAAGTTAGTTTTTTTTTAATGGTTAATATAAATTAAGGCCTAACTTATAACTCAAAATATTTAAAACTATGAAATCAAATAATTACCTAATTTTTTAGTTTTTCTTAAGATGTCTGATTATGTCCACTAGTACATATGTATAATAATATATTAAATGTTTATGTAAGTAAACAGTCATAAACACAAGTTAAAAATCACTTTGTTAGAATCATTAACAATTACCCCACCTGACCCTACATTGTTAGAAATAATCATTAGTATCTAATAATTATTAGTTGTTAATGAAAGAAAAAAGTATACCATTATTCTATTTGAAATAATTGCTAATAATTTAAGCTTGGAAAATAAGTGATTAGATAAAAAAAATGAAAGATAATCATTACATATAACATTAACAATAATTTTATATGATTTCCTTAAAACATACATAAATTATTTTAATTAAGAACAAAAATTATTTATGTATCGATAAAATTACTACAATTAAAAATAATTCGTCTAATAGAGAAATTTAGTTCATACCAAGTGTGAAAATCTGTTTTTTCAAAATTAATCATAAGAAATGTATAAATAACTAAAAACAACAAAGATTTCATCTACAGAAATTCTCATATTTATGCACCAAATTATAATTATATTATATTTACTCATTCTTTCAAATAATTAAAATATATTTATTTATTATTCCAGAATTAAACAATATCATAGATGCTGGTATAATTTTCATTTATTTAATTTTTAATAAAAAATTAATATTAATTAATTAATTAATCAATGTTTGATGCTTAATTTTATAATGTTTTTACATAGTTATAACTACTATCTTTATTGTAGACACAAGTTGGCCTACTATAAATATTTAGCATACCTAAATTATAGAACACCTTTTTAATGATTATTGTATTTATTATTTAAAAAATTATAAAATATCAATAATGAATAAATTTTATAATATAATATTATCTAATATTTTATTATTTATCATAATAATAAAAAATGAGGGATCATATGCGCAATTTAAAACTTTTTCTTGGTATTAATTATATTAAAGAGCCTGTGAGGGTTTAGCTGGGTTGAAGTATCCCTACTCCTAAAAATGGCGTATAACAAATTATAATTTTAATTCATGACTGAAATAATAGTTAATTAACAAAGGGTAGAAGACTAAATTAAGAAAGTTAATCTTCTCAATTAATTTTTTTAAATCCATACTTACATTTTTATACACCTTTGCCATAGAAGTAACGATCTATAGATTTGAACAAATGTATTATTTTTTGATAGCCTTGTCAATTACTATCAGATATCATGAATACTTGTCCTAGCTATACCATGTCCTCACTGTATTGGTTTTTTTATTACTAGAATTTTTTTGGCCGCAATCTTCCTAGGTATAAAAATAACAATAACTTCCGAAACACTAGTCTAAATGTTATTATATATAAATGCAACAAATAATACTCAATATTATTATTTTTTTTTTTTTGGAAAAAATTAAGCTATTTATAATTATTGCATCAACCTGTATATTATTAGTAGTTTGATATAGAAATACATTGATTTTAACATAAGTTTAGGAGTCTTGGGATCGATATAGATATGTGAGAATGGAGACGCCAAGTTTTATTTAAATTTAACTATTTTAAGCCCTTCCAAGAACAACTATTAAATAGCGTCTATGACCCTCATCTTACATAATATTAGCTATATATATATATTCAACGTTTATTAAATAATTTACTTTAAATAATCATTTGTACTATCTTCAAATGGCTTATTCGCAAAATCTGTTAAATATAACTATATACATTTTTGGTGAACTAAAACGTAATCATACATTTTAAACTTACTAAAGATGTTAAAAATATGATTGTTGGGTAGTTGATTTTACAAATTGGTGATTCCAATGATATAATCATTAATGGGTTCGAATCACAATAACAAGCTATGAACATGTCAAGTATATTTTATTTGAAATTTATTTGTTCAAATACTTCTTAAAATAATCATTTTTATTAACATTTTTACGTATAAATTTAATACTAAAAAAATAAAATAATTTAAAAACTAAAAATAATAATATAATTGTATTTATCTCTCAGACTTCTTTAAGGACTTAGTTATAAGCTTATGTTATATTTGAACATGTTTCTTTGAATATAAGCCCATACAATTTTTTATAATATAACCACACAATATTAATCACTAACTTATAATGTATAAAATTCACTATTGTCACTAAATTTTACTTTATAAATAAAATACTTTAACACTATTTTAGATGCTGAAAATCAAATTAGAAGAATACAAGAAGAATCTATTCGAAATATATTACATGATTATATAAGTGAGACAATTATTAACAATCTAAAAATCAAGTTTAAATAACTGAATTGCGCTAATAGAGGCAGTTTGAATTTTTTTATTTTAATATTAAAATAAATTTGCATATTCTCAAATTTTCAGAATCAATGAAAATTCAACAAGTTTTTTATATAAAATAGAGAATCGAACAATTCTAACTAACAGTACCTATTGATATTATTAATAATTTGGTTTAATTATTTTTTAATAATTATTCCATTCTCGAACTACTTTAAAATGAATATTTAAAATATGCCTGGGTATTAAAAATTAAAATTTAATAAAAAGGAAGATCCAACAAAAAACCTAAGTAAAAAAATGCATTCAACAATATTAATAATTTTTTTATGAAGTTGTAGGCCATAATATGTTACTATAATATAAATTTTCAAATAATAGAAAGTAAATTTTAATTTATGTTGATGTATTAGAATATAATACATTGTTAGAAATGATCATTATTATTTAATAATTATTAGTCTATTTGAAATAATTGCTAATAATTTAAGCCTGGAAAAAAAGTGATTAGATAAAAAAAACATATAACATTAACAATAATTTTATATGATTTCCTTAAAATATACATAAATTATTTTAATTAAGAACAAAAATTATTCATGTATCGATAAAATTACTACAATTAAAAATAATTCGTCTAATAGAGAAATTTAGTTCATACCAAGTGTGAAAATCTGTTGTTTTCAAAATTAATCATAAGAAATGTATAAATAACTAAAAACAACAAAGATTGCGTCTACAAAAATTCTCATATTTATGCGCCAAATTATAATTATATTATATTTACTCATTCTTTCAAATAATTAAAATATATTTATTTATTATTCCAGAAATAAACAATATCATAGATGCTGGTATAATTTTCATTTATTTAATTTTTAATAAAAAATTAATAATAATTAATTAATTAATCAATGTTTGATGCTTAATTTTAATCAAATTAAATTATATATGTTTTAAAAAACTTATTTTAAGTTAAAGAAAATATTAATTTCCTTCGTCCCATTATGATCCCTAAATCCACATATGATCATATTCATAGAATTAAACATTAAGTTTTAAGTTAAAATAAATATTTTATTTCAGAGGAACTCGAAGATATGTTTATTCCAAAAAGTTAGTTTTTTATTAATGGTTAATATAAATTAAGGCCTACCTTATAATTAAATATATATTATTATTTTATGCCTCTTCGATTACATAAAATAGTTAATATTTACATAGTAATTTATAAAGCAATGAGTTAAAATATCGTATTATATAATAGAACAAGGAAAAAAACGCTTTTCTGGGAAAATTACATAGCGTGCTCAGATTTCCAAAATTTTTTTTTTCAACGAAAGTACTCGGTCACCAGACTCCGGGAAAATTATTGACAAAGGTCGGAAAATTTTTGCCGTTCGCCCGCGAGCGTTTTAAAATTTCGACCTTTTTTGAGAAAAACGCTCGCTGACGCCAGCGTTTTACGACTTAAGGTTTGGAATTTTCATCAGACCCGCCCAATGACATTCCTGAGATATGATAAAAAAATCAATTCAATCCGTTCATTTTACACCGTTTTACGAGCTTTTTTTTTCATGCGCTCGAGACGCCAGGGCGCGCCCCCCGAAATTCTTGCGACACTTTACGTCATGAAAACGATTTTTTTTTCCACGCGCATTGTAATANAAGTCCACGCGCATGGTTTTATTATGCGCAGTGATTCATTTCTGCTCATACGTTTATTATGAACCTTAATTATATGGTGTATTATGTATTATTATTAGGACACTATTTTGCATTTGCCTATATTTATCAAGGAATTTTATATGTTATATATAAATTTCATGACGTTATAACTATTTAAGTTTGTACTTTCATTATAAGAACAGTACTAAGTACATAGTTAATAATTTTCTTTTTTCTCATATATGATGTATGAGACTATGAGTTTATCTTTTGAATTGGGATTCATCTATGATAACTATGATGTTCATCGTTAAATCGCAGTTACCAATATATTTATCAAAATTAAACTTTTAATTTTATTTTTAATATTAATTTTTTT